CCCCCGGCCGGCCGGCCGATACCGACGGCGCCAAGATGTTGATCGTGGGAAACGCCTCCCCCACACACATCTCTGCTCATTTGCGCACTTACAGTCGTCCCTTGCTTTTGGTCTTCAAGTCCCATAAAGCGGCGAGGGCGCTACCCTGACTACATATTAGGGCAATCACTAAGGACAAATCCGCCCCCGCCCGCTTTCGCATTCCCCTCTCCTCCCTGCCACTCACCATGGGCAGCACAAAGCCGTCGTTGTAGTCGGTGTGCTCGCCGATGAGGTTGACGCGGCCGGGCCCGCAGCCCGCCACCTCCGGGTCGCCGCCGAACCTCTCCCTGAAGAGGCTGCGCCCCTCGCGGAGCAGCTCCTCCACGCTGGGGACGTGCTTGAGCATCGCAAGGTGATCGCTGTGATGACAATAACAACAGGCTGTCGGCTACCGTCCGGATGCCGCCTGCGAGTGCGCTCGAGAGGAGTGGTCGCCGCCGCCGCACTGCCAGCGGCAGGCCCGGCCGTGGGGCTTGGTTGGTGATTAGTCCCCCTCTCCCCCCTCCTATCCACTGCCCGACCGCCAGCCGCTCCCCCCTCACCCGTTGCCTCTCCTTTTCTCTCTATCGACAATTACATTACAAACTTCCATACTGGATACGAGACGGGACAGCGGCGGGAGGAAGGGCCACCCTCCTTACCCCTCGGCTCATTGAATTTGAAGGACTCGTTACCGAATTACGTCAAACTGACGTAAAAAGCACACGTAATTTTGATGGATCATTGCGGGATGGGCACTCTCCAATCCCCGTATCGCGCTTAAGAGTCCGCAAGTCCCTCCGAAAGCGCGCATTCTTACCAAAACGCGTTTTTCGTCGTACGTTTGTATTTCTGACCGCAGCGGTAGTCGTTATTCAAGTGCGCTTTGGCGGAGCAGATGCGGTGGCCCATTTTAGCGTGTATCTTATCAGCTTGTCAGTCACTTAAATGTCGGCGGCTCGTCAGCTAATCGTGGGTTCAGACTCAAACACCTCACCACCTGCACACCGTACAAACTGCGTTACCTGATCGGCCCATCGGTCACTACTTGCGCCTTCGTTTGGGGTTGTTGTTGACGTTTATTGACAGTGAACAGTTGTTGGTTGACAAAGGTTGACAGTGGCTACTAGCTGACAGAACAGAACGGGTGGGCGGGCGGTCCTCCCCGCCGAAATTCTCATACCATACCCGAGCTTCAGGCTTGACTCAATATTCACATTCACATGCATTATTCGAGAGGTTTCGTTTCGAGTGGCGTCGTCGTCTTTCACAGAGTATTTTGTAAATAAACAGAGAAAAAGTTATTGATGCGATGCTTGGGTAAGCTTAAAGTTTTAAATTTACTCAGTGAGGTTCTTTGATTATTCTCCTCGATCTGTCCTATCAGTCCACTAGAAGAAATTCAGTTTTCATGTTGTTAAATGTTGTAGACTTGTCAATTTGTCAGTGGCACTCACCTTTCGCCTTCTTTTAATAGGTGTTTTTAAAGAACGATTGAATATCCTGTCTGTTTTTATTTCAATTGCTCTTTACACGTCTAGTTGTTGTTGTGTTGTACTCATTTTTACTCGTTTGTTCTATGCCAATTTTTTCTCAAAAACGTAACCTTAACAGTTCTGTCAATACAGAGCCACCATTTGTTTAGCCATTGTATTTTTTCTCTTATTCTTATGTTCTATGTAAGATCTCTGTAATAAAAAAATGATTTCGAATGAACTTAAAAGTTGCAGATATTTTGTTAACCTCAAGCAATTATTTTTAAACAAAGGTAACATTTTCAGATGTAATATTTGAGAATATGTGTTGAAATAATTCTTTGCACTAAATATACCTTCTAACGCAGAAAAATATCCCATTTGTTTTGTGTGTTTTTTTCTTTCATTCTAGTTTGAAAAGTACTATCACCTAATTTTTGTGATGCATAACTTCTTCTTACCCCCCGTGCAATGCCAAGTTAAAACTGTTGACGATCGATTTTTGAAGAAATTTCTAAACCATATTTCTTTAGAAGTTATCTAAAATTATCTGATTAAAGGGCCTCAAAGAATTGCTTGCCTACTTTGCCCCAACTACTGTAAAGATCTTCAAAGTTATATGCAGTCCTGTGAATTGTGGTTTAAGTAATGCTTTCTCTTTATCAGTGCAGTTGTAACTTAACTCATTTATCATCCTTTCAGCTAAGAAATATTTTGCAAAAGAAGAATCTGTCTGAAAATGAGTAGCCATCATCATATGGGCAGAACTGCCCCCAATGGTGAAATAGAGCATACTACATTTCTCTCAGAGCATATAGGGGCCTTATACTTAAATGATGAGTACAGTGATGTGGTTGTGTCTGTTGATGGACATCGGTTTCATGGCCACAAAGTAATCTTAGCTGCTAGAAGTGATTATTTCAGGTACTTTTTTAATACTTTTGTATTGCTTTTATTTTTTGAACTGTAGGAAATACTTTTCATGTCATATTTGTTATCTTTCTTCAGAGCTTTATTATTTGGCGGCCTTCGTGAATCAAAGCAGGATGAAATTGAACTTAAAGGAACAAATCTTCCTGCATTTAAGGCCCTATGGAAATATATCTATACAGGGCATATGTCCCTTGCTCATCAAAAGGTAATTGAATATCTGAAGAAAATAAATTCTCTTCTGTACTCAAGATTAAAGTCTTCACTGAATTTTATTTCAGGAGGAAGTTATATTAGAGACTTTGGGGCTTGCTCATCAATATGGCTTTGTAGATCTTGAAGCAAGTATATCTGATTATTTAAGACAAGTACTCCAAATTCTCAATGTATGCATGATTTATGATGCGGCAAGATTGTACCAGTTACCAGGTTTGACAAAAGTCTGTTGTTCATTCATGGATAAAAATGCCCAAGAAATTATTCATCATGAATCATTTTTGCAACTCTCGCCTGTAAGTTCCATTTACCTCATTTCGTGGTGCCTTTACATGTATATAATTCTTATGTCCATTTTTCTTTGTAGACGGGTCTCAAGGATCTAATTCAGAGAGATTCGTTCTATGCTCCAGAAGTTGAAATATTTTGTGCAGTTGTCGACTGGGTCCGAAATAATCAGTCAGAGAGTATAGACAATTCATCTGTTTATAGCAGCCAAGATGGCTCTGATGATAGTATAGAAAACATTGTATTATCAGAAGCTGCTTCTGCTGTTTTAAGTGCAGTTCGTCTGCCTCTCATGAGTCTGTTAGAATTACTTACTGTTGTGAGGCCTACAAACTTGATTCCTGCAGACACAATTCTTGATGCAATAGCTTCTCGGAATCAAGGCCGAGATACTGAGTTGCGCTATCGAGGTTGCCTCAGTAAGTGTTATCTAGTACTTATTTCTTAAAATCTTGTTATAGCTTTGCGGTTGTTTTCATTTTACAATTTTCAGTGCCGGAAGAAAACATGGCCCATCCAAGTCATGGAACACAGGTTCTCCAAGGTGGCATGAGATCCGCTTTGCTTGATGGTGACAGTAAAAACTATGATATGGAAAGAGGTTATACTAGACATGCTATAAATGAAGAAGGGGATGAAGGAATTTTGATTAAGCTGGGCACAGAAGCTATTTTAAATCACTTCAAAATGTTGTTGTGGGATAAGGATGTCAGGTACTATTTTCTAGCATGTAACGTGTCTTTTTTGATGTTTTAAAAGTTTCTCTGCATTGCCACAACTATTTTTATTTCAGATCATATCAGTATTATATTGAAGTGTCAATGGATCAGAAAGATTGGGTTAGAGTTATTGATCACACTCGATATTTCTGTCGCTCTTGGCAATTTTTGTACTTTGAACCAAGGGTAATTCGTTACATTCGAATTGTTGGTACTAACAATACTGTCAACAAAGTATTTCATGTTGTGTCATTTGAAGCCATGTACACAAACACCCAATTCACTCTTGAAAAGGGTCTCATAGGTGAGGCGTATAGATTGCTACTAATCTAATGTAATAACATTTTTTTCCATGCAATTCCTAATAATCTTATTTATTTCAATTTAGTTCCTAAACACAATGTTGCAACAGTTGAAAAGAGCGCATCAGTTATAGAGGGTGTCAGCCGCAGTCGAAATACATTACTCAATGGTGATACAAGCAATTATGATTGGGATTCAGGATATACCTGCCATCAGCTAGGCAGTGGCTCAATTCTTGTTCAACTAGGTCAACCATACATGTTGGATTCTATGAGGTGCATATTTAAATTCAATTTCTTGTAATAAAAAAGTTGATGGTGGTTCTTACTTGTTACTTTCATCTATTTAACAAAAAGCTTTTCTCTTTGTTCATGTTCTCTTTTATTTTAAAGGCTGCTGCTTTGGGACTGTGATGATCGATCATATGGCTTCTATGTGGAGGTGGCTGTCAACCCTTGGGAATGGGAAGTTGTTGTAGACAAGAGCAGGGAAAGTTGTAGGTCATGGGTGACTTTACACTTTGAACGCCGCCCTGTTGTTTTCATCAGAATTGTTGGGACACACAACACTGCTAATGAGGTAGGCATGATTAAAAATTTGAGCTGGAGGGGTATGAACATTCTAAACTGTATTGTGCTCTTTATTTTAAGGTATTTCACTGTGTCCACTTTGAGACCCCTGCACAGACTGATGACAGCAGACAACAGCATACAGAATCTTCAGGGATAAAATATGGTAACATAGCTGCATGCTGCAGAACATACATTAGTATTTTATGAATGTTTATCTGGTTTCAGTGGTTAATTTTCAAATTTTCCTCCCAGTAAATCTCAGAGGTGGGACAAATCGAAGCAGAGAAATTCAACCTCCATCCTCAGTTCCTCCAGAAACAGCAAGTGAGGCTGGAGAGACACAAAACCAGGATAGGAAATCTTCTAATTCCGGAAATGGAGCAGGAACTGTTACCCAAACCCTCAGGGCTTCAACTGCAAGAGCTGCTGATTTTGCTGGCCTGGGTGCAGTTGGTGGGGTTGGTGCTGGAGTTGCCCTAGGAGCAGAGGCCTTCGACGTATTAGATGATGGTGGTGCCCCAGCTCGGGTAAGTCTCCACTCTTGGTTTCATTAAATAAAGTTTAAAAACATATATAACCAAATCGCTGGCTTTAAACCTGTAATGATTTCATCTCTTTACTTTCCTACAGCCAAAACGATTAAATCAGAATCCTGATAACCCTGATCGAGGGGGCTCATCAGGTGGGGCAGGCAATGTTCTTTAAAAAGTGACCGGCTCTTTCTGTCTAATCAAGCATATGAGTGTTAATACCCGTCTGTGATTGTGAAGCAAGCCCATTTTCCAGGAGAGTGGTTCTGTGATTGTTTCTATTTTTGTTTAAGGTGACCTTTTGTGATATACATTCATCTTCATGCCAACATGTAATTAATTTCTTTTTACCATACATTCATTTCTTATAGGAAGCATAAGGTTTACAATAACAGTTGAAGATACTACTGAGTCCGTCATTGCCTTATGTATTCATATTCAGTTCAAGGTTTACCTATTACTGATTGTTTATGCGGTATGATTATGTCTCTAATTCTCAACTTTTTGTCCTTTGAAACAGTGGGTATGGTTGGGTCTGAAATATTTTCTATCTTTAATTTGACTGTCTAGGACTGGAAAAGTTAAAAAATCAATCATGAAAAATGTTTAAGTTTCATTTTATAATGACTTTATCACTTTATCACTTGGCATGTGGAGGGCACAGTAACTATCGATCTGTTTAGTTAAATTTTCTATCTGTTAGTTTTGATAATCCTTGCTGTGGAAAAAAGTCATTATTGTTAATTAATTTTGTAATACAGCTGTTAAGAATTTATCACTGCTTCACCTGTTTAAAATCTATTATAATTATGTAGGTTATGGAGATTGTTCACCCTGTTTTTACTGATCTGACATCAATACTCCTGGTGACTATGTTTTCTATCTTTTAGCCCAATTGCAATAATGTTGGAGACGTAGTAAAAATTTTTTCTTAAAACACTGCATATATTTACAGTTGACTTTTGTTTTGTATGTTTGTCTTTAGTATAGCTATATAATTATAACCAGTGTGTCAGTATTCGTAACCCTGTACAAATCAAAAGCTAATTTAGTACAAACATTGCTCCATTTTTGTATTCGTATAATATATAGGTTTTGTGCCTGTTGTTAATTTTTAAATTATATTTATTGTCATGGCAGACTTACTTTAATGAAAAACTGTAGTAAAATCCTGCATAATGTAACATTTAATCAAAAGAGGTGCCTTTCCCTTACTTGATGTTGTATATGTTTACCGAATACGGTAAATTCTATGGCCCTGTTCTGCCGGAATGCAGGAAGGAATAAATTTATCGTTTTTTTTTTTTTTTTCATATTTTAAGATACATGCCTAAAGTGTGCTTTTGTTCTTTCAAGGGCTCAAAACAATTATAACATATTTTTAAAAGCTTTTATGTATAGGCATTAACCTAGTAGTAACTTTATTTGTTCCTGTTGATGGGAGGGGGTTGAATGAATATGGTTGAATGTACAGGTGGTGTTGTTAGGATTATAGGTAGTAACTTGTATAGTTTTGGTTTCTATTAACCAGTTAATAAAGTATTGCCATTGCCAATCATTTCATGTAGTAATTCAGTTTCAATCAGTCTGCTGTGATTTCCAAAATACCACCTGGAGGGTGGGGCTACTTGAGCCACTTTTCTTTTCTCCCTCCCCACACCTAAATGGTGAACCCGAGGAAACTCATACAAGGGCCGCGAGAAAGGTCTTCGATTTGATAACACATTGGTGACCTCGAATATTTTTTATCTGAACGCGTTATTCCGATTTTAGATTTTTTGTAAATTTTGCAGATGGCTCATGGTACCCCACTATAGGGGTACCATGAGCCACCTAGGGGGCACCATGAGTCATCACATTTATAGCTCTAAATGATGTGAATTTGCATAGCTTTTAAATCCAAATGTGTTAAGGTTGACAACCTTAACAGTACACAAGCAAAGAATAATTGAAATCAGCACCAGGTTGCTGATCATGAAAATGCTATTGTTGCATAGAACTTGAGCAAAATAGTATAACTTTTTAACCAGAACTTCTTATTGTATACTATATGCCCTTTGGGGGGATTTCGAAATATGAAGTTCAATACAAAATTTGACGTGGATGGGTAAGAATCAAATATATACCGAGTTTGAGCCGAATCGGGAATTTCCACCTACCCAAGTCTCCTTTAAACAAGATGGCAAAACTTACGAAAGGTGTTCAAGGTTGCATCCAATAGTCTAAAATTTAAATAAAACTGAAAAAGGAAGTTCCTCTAACGTTTTTGTTGAAAAGTATCAAGAAAAGTCATGGCTCATGGTACCCCACAAAAACTGGCTCATAGTGCCCCATAGGTAACTCTCTTGATCGGGCGACTCTAGGAGGTACAGAGCACTGTTCAAAAAATAAATCGACACTGGGAAATACTCCTGAATGTCATTAAAATCCAACAGTGAAAAGAGTTCCAAGTTAAATTAAAAAGTACGCCGTACAAAAAAAAATTACTGCTCATTGCTTTCACTCAATTTCCTTCAAAGTTGTACCTTCAAAATTCACTACGCCACCATTTACACGTTGTCAACAATAGCGCTATGAGCCTTTCTGAAAAAGTTCGCATGGTGATGCTCTTCAACAGAATATTTTTTGATTTTGAAGGTAGGGCTTGGTGGGGGAGATACGGGTGGTGGCTCATGGTACCCCCTGGCTCAAGTAGCCCCACCCTCCCTTACTTTGAGAGCAGCTTATATTAAGTTGTTCTGTTGGCTTATTATGCATATGAAACACATTTTGCTGACGAGACATACCATTTCCCTACTGCGGTTCATTAGTGGGCCAAAAACCGTTCGGCAAAAAGATGGAGAAGAGTTGGAGAATCGAGAGAATGGTGGTGGATTTAGTATTTAGTCTCGGTGACGATGAAGCAGAAGCAAACGAGCAGGGAATACCAGACCACAGAGTTATCTCATTATCCACCAGAGATGGCGCTGGCGCTAGAAGAGTGGTAACTCTGACAACCAAATCCATACCACCGCCCAGCCCACGGCGGCAGTTGGCAGCGGAGTGAGGGGACATCTGTCAGACTTGTGTCAGAGTTCTACAGGGTACAGTTTGCAATTTTTCAAAAGTAAGTACGCATCATTTTCATCTTTGTGCTCAAAGATCCATCTCAGTGTTTGTATTACAACACTTCAAATTAGAATGGTACTTATATAATGTCATCTGTATACCTAACCTGTAAAATTGGCAAAAGCGTAATGTAATGTTATTGAGTTCCTAACCTTTCTTTTCACCTGTCAAAAATATGAGTTTGGTCGTTAACCCATAAATCACAATTTTCCTCCACAGTCTTTCCCCATATTTGAGGGCAGGGTAAATTTGTCTCAGTTTTGAAGGTGGACTCTGCTTTGTATTGTTGCAGACATTTTTTTTTATTTTTCCTTGTGGGATATTTGCCCCTATTGGGACCCTATTACTATTATTAAGTAGTTGATGAAATGAAACTTGTCCAGTTAATTTATTTTATCTTTCATGCGTAGGTTAAAAAATGGATACCTGGCAATCTGACGAAGACTTTTTAAGGGACATGAATGAGCTGAATGAAATTGGCGAAGAGGTCAATGAACAATTTTGGATGATAGACAGCAGCAGCAATGAGGAACCGCCCGAAGCAAAACCGACATCTGTTATTCCTGTAAGATTTTGTAATTTTTTTATCAATTTTATTCTATTGGGAATTACTGTATGCTACATGCCTGCATCCTGTAGATCGAGACCCCTACAATTTCCAGTGCTGCAACCCAAAGGAAAATTACGTATGATATAATTTCGGACATGAGCAAGGTAACCTTCATTTTAAAATTACAAAGCTGCTCTTAATTTTCACTTTTTTTTTTGTATAGTTATTGTTTTTGGTATGCATATTACAGGCGAACATCAGTTTTGAGCCTGATTACAAGGAATTGATGGTAAAGCAAAAACTTCTTGCAAGGTAAGGAATTCGACTCTTTATGAATTGAAATTTTGATTATCAAATGGGTTGCTTGTATTTCACAGCTTTTATATCTAATTGAATTCTGTTCACAGTTCTAAAGATAGTTCCAAAGAGCCTCAAGGGTTTAAAAAGCCCCAAAAATGGAAACCCATGCCAGAATCTCAGGGCCCTACTGTTAGCAACCAATTTAATTGGCAACCAGTTGACCCAACACCATTCTCTGTTAAGCCTGATGAATTCCCTACTTTGGGGAAAAAATGAAATCTTAGTTGGCTGTATTTGTAATTTTATTGTGATGAAATTTCTATGTATTTGTTACTATTTCATTCATTGGTC